CCATCCCTATGATAACATTAGAGTTTCAAAAATTACCTTCATGTGGAATAATTAACAGTAAATTCAAGTTAACTCTCATGCCCTCTGTCATTAAACAGTCAAGAGATCTGGACCAACTATACATGACAGAATATCACGCTGCTTCAATGTAGTGTAGTGATTAAATTAATTGATCAAATCAGAAAGTAGCAAGCATGTTGGGACAGAAGTCATGAGATAAAACGTACTGTTTTAGGTGCCATGAGGTATGCCTGGACTCACCTCCAAAATAAAGGACAGATTATTGCACTTATTTCCATCCACTATAAAGAAGGAAACAGTGCTTAAGTAGAGAATCACTATTTTCTTCCTAATATTTCAGCATGAATCTTTTTATGTTTTGAGGGGAATGGATTGTAATAAACAATAATGGAAACTTAGAGATCAATTATTACAGACTTGAATTTTAGAAATATTAGGGAGATGTCTACAATGGCAACAATGGAAATGTATAGAATTGGAAACTGTATGATACATTTAGGGGCTTAACTGAAAGGCTTTCTGTTATATTTGAAAATAAGAGACAGAAAACAGAAAAATAAGAGACCAAGGATGCTATACAAATTCTTAAATTAGTAAATTCTATAGATAGAAATGATACCCAATAAAACATAGAAGAAATATTTAGAGTATGCTAAATTAAATTTACTTGAGGAACATCCATGTGAAAATAATATAGAGGAATTAAATTTCTGAGTTTGAAATACATGTCTATGAAACACATATACATATATGATGTGTAAACCATGTGGCATCCTAAGCACATATTCAGTACTGAACTTCAGGAGCCTGAAGGAGCTCACTTTTTTTGTGAAAGAAGGGAGTTCAAGAATGACTTTTTAGTTATTGCAACAAAGTTTGGTAAAAGGAATAAAATGAGCAAGGGATTCTAAGAAAGGAAAGCTAGTAACTAGGAGAACAATACAGTGTTATGGAATTCAAGATAGATAATATGTTTAAAGTTAAATGGGATAATAAACTATATTTGGTATAGTTGACAGGTGAAGCAGAATATGAAGAAAAATCTGATCATGGGATTTGACATTGAGAATTGCACTTTCAAGTTCAGTTCAATAGAAGGGAGAAAAAGTCAGATTATAAATACTTAGAGAACAGTCATTGAGTGAAGTCAAATTAAAGACAGCAATGACCATTCTTTGGAAGCATTTTTCTTTAAAGGGGTAGAATGATGAAGCTGGAGCTATTGATATCGGATATTGTATAAATGACAGGATAAGAAAACTTTCCAATTTTGTTTCTTTTCAAATATAGGAGAACAGGACCTGTTTATATGCTGCTTGAAATAATTCAGTAAATAAAGGCAAACAAAGAAAGAGAACAATTATAAGAATCATGTACTTTCAATACCTAAATGGGATGGAATACAGAGAAAAAATGTCAAAGTATCACAATTCCTATTATCTTATTAACAGGAAACAAATCAACTGCAAGTTAATGCCCATCCTCCTGGCTATATTTTCCATAAGACATAACGGGTCATTTTACTGTGGTATCATGTATATATAGTTCAATTTTATTACTCTCTGTCTTAAAACCCACATTGAAGGAATTTAAACATTTGGTCTTTATTCTACTCCCATGGGTTTTATTTGTTTATAGTTCCTCTGAACAAACAATAGTATCCACCTACATACATCAACTCGCCTCATGCCACTGATAAAACTATACTCTTTTTTATTCTCAGAAATGTGTAAGGTCTTTTTTCTACTTTCATTTTTCTTTCTATTTATTGCAGTGTATTATTGCTTCCAACTGTTCCTCCAGATATTTGAATATTTATTCTGCTTGCTTGCACCATATTCCATGTCACAGTACCTCTCTGTCCCCATATATAATAGAGTCACTATAGAAGACTGTCCCATACAAGTGATTTGTAATGAGCAAGGCCTTCACATGCATGCACTATTTTCTAGGATCTCACTGTGGAAAGCCTTTCACTTGCCATTCAATTTTGTGCAAGACATATTGATGTCAAAGAATAATGTTTTCTAAAAAGTTAGACTGTCAAAGTTGGGGAACTTTCAATCTTAGAGAAGAATGGATAGACAACCATTTGACTAGGTGGCTTAGTCTAAAATGTAATCTTAGAGATTTATTCTACAAGTGTAGTACAATATATGAAGACTCTGGGTTTCTTTATATGCTCATCTGGTAATATAACTGTTCCAGCTTTCAGACATGGTAAACCCTCCAAAAGACAGTTGACTTCACCTTTGTTCACAGTGAAAACTGCTTCTTTCTCTACACACATTTCTGGGCATTCTTAAAAAATTAGTAAAGAGCTAATTTTGCAGACAAAGAACACAGAGTTTCTTCCCTAATAAATGTTTTATAGAAATAAAGGATTTAAGTAGTATATTATACATCTTTTATTAAATTTACCATACTTCATGACTCTTCAAAAACATTTCCTGTAATATAGTTTATTACTTACATGATTTGATAATGTTATTTAAATAAAGCATTATCAGTAGCCTTTATCATTTTACTTGTCAATTTATAGTCATCCAACAAAAATGCTAACATTAACTTCACAGGGAAATTTTGAAATTTCAAAAAGATCTAAAATTCTAAATATGTTTGAGGTAGTAATGCTACAGTTTCTGACAAAGTTATTCCAACTATACCAAATAGCTTTAGTTTTACAACACATAAACATACAATTTATGGCATACTTTGTTGTTATTATGCAAATTCAGATCACATTTTGGATTTTCATTGACTTTATTTCCCTGGGTTTCATTCTTTTCTTTCTCATTGTGGCATATCTTATTTATCTTTACAAAACCCCCATGAATGCTGTATTCCTTAACTGAAGTGATGTCCTCCTTAATATTCTGAAACAAGAAAATCTGAAGTGGTGACAAACAATGATTTTGAGATTTTAACTGCATTCAGTTTCAATTACAATAAAAATGATCCTGGTTATAATATTACATTACAACTAAGTAGAGGAGCAAATATCAATATAAATATTTGAAAGTGAATGATTATATGATTCTAAATTTAGTTGGTATTGGTGTGTGTGTATGTGTGTGTGTATATCTTACTTTGTGTCTCAGACACTAGGAATACCACATTACTTGCCATCCATGTATAATAAATAAACTTTGTTTAGTCATTCCTTTGAGAACAGTTCTCTTACAGTACTTTTAGGAACTTTGCTATGATATCAGAAAAAAAAATTATTTGCTAGCATAACATAAATCATGGAAATTTTTAAATATGATGTTTCCTAGAACTCATTCATAGCTGAATGCATCAGATAGAATAACATGTGAGGGAAAAAAAGCAATATTTAGTATTTTTATATTCTTGGTATTTTAAAAAACGATAGGTTTATATCTTCTTCTCTCAACATACCATAAAAATGTAATACTCCTTAAAAATAAATATGTTCTTGAAAACTCTTTCTTTGATTATTATACTTGGTGAATTTGATCTCAATTTAATAATTTACCAACCATTTTGTATGAGGTTACATAATTGTGAAAATAAAGATGTTTCTAACATTCTCTTCTATAATTTCAATAAAGAAGAATTTGAATTGATGTGAGAGATAAATAAAACAAATACTTAATGCTAAATTCTGTGGAAAAATTCTTTGCTAGGTTAAATAGGAAAGAATTAGGTGTTTTTAATGCTTCAAACTTCAGTAAATATAATAACCTGGCCCATATGTACTTGCAAAGGCTATTTTTGCAAAGTAGTTTTCTTTTGAAATTGATATATACTTCAACTTAATATGACTGAAATTGTTAAGGGTAATTTCTACAGATCAAATCATTTTAAAAATAATTCATTACTGTAACAAATATTTATTACTAATTTCCAATTGTCTTGGAATAAGAACAATTTTAATTCAGTGTGAAATCTTTTCTCCTTTACTTTAGTTATTTTTCTCTCTGTATTCCTTTCTCCTTCTTTCCCTACTTCCCTCTGTCTTTCTTTGCTCTTCTCTTTTCTTTTCTTTTTTCTTTTATTTTCTTAGAGATAGTTTAGACTTCTTGACAGCAAAGAGGATAGGCAGCCAAGTAAAAAATGTATGGGATATGAAGAGAAAGTATTTATTGTAAGCTAAGTTAGCATTAATTAGACAGAAGGCAACTAAGACATGGGCATGTGGAAATAATGCATGTGAGGAAACAGGGCAAAATCAAAGAATTTCATGACATAGCATTGATGGAGTATAGTTTGCATTGCAGAAGAGTCATATTGAGATGACGGCACAGATTATAACAAATCCTGGTGCCAGTACAAGGAATTTTTTAAGAGATAAAGAGAGATAGAGTATGCATTCAAGTGGGGGAGGGAAAAAGGAGAGGGGAAAAAGAGAGAGAGAGAGAGAGGGAAAGAGAGAGAGAGAGAGAGAGAGAGAGAGAGAGTCTTAGCCAGACTCCATGCTCAGTGGGGAGCTTGACACAAGACTTGGTTTCACAACTGACCTTGAGATCATGACCTGAGCATAAATCAGGAGTCCGTTGCTTACCTGATTGAGCCAACCAGGTGACCCAAGGAATTTTGCTTTTACTATGAAAAGTAGACGTTTCTACTAAGCAATGATTTTCCAGTTGATTAAGGCAGTTTAACCTGCATTTCTCCCAAGTATTTCATATACAATTTATTCCAAACAGGATTCTCATTCATGACATCTATAAAAAACTGTCTATTTCCAATAATTTCTCTTTTTTTTCTTTTTATTGTTTTTGTTTTGTTTTTAAGTAACAAATTCACTTTTAATTGATCCACAGATAAACACTACTCAGAGCAGGTCAGTAACCATTTCAGCCCCATTTCAGTTAGGGCCATATCCTGTGTTGTCTTCAGGATCTAGGTTAATGGGCTATTTTCATTATTTCATGTCATCCACAGTATTAGAAAAAAAAAACGCATTGTATCAGTTTTGATGAAATGCATTGCCAGCAGCCAAATCCAGTCCCTTATATTCCATATTCTTTCTTTAGATCTTCTACGTGGTGGGCGTAAACTTTCATTGCATCTTCCTTGAAACTCCCTTTCATCTGATTCCAGGCATCCCACTTGGTCTTGCCTTTGTGATTCAACAGCCCAGGCCATTCTGTGTTTATGTCATGCACAGTTGCTTATTTGTAGTGGCCATAGATGAACACCATTTCATCAGCTGCTGGCTTGGTCTTGAGGTGCTTGACAGACTCAGAAGCTTTGTCATACTCAGCCTGAGACGCGCAGGCAGATTCCAAGGATTCCAGGGAGTGGGAGGAAGTGACCAAGAGCAAGAAGTTGTAGCAGAAGACTGACTGGCAGCGCCTGTAGAGGCCTATTTCTAATAATTTCTTATATCACCCACTACTCTTCCCAGTCTACAAGCAGTGTCTTACAATCTTCGAATTTTCTCTGTCTCTTAATTTGCTATGTATTCAGTCAAGAAATCCTATTGAATTTCTATCCTTAATAGTTAATAATTCTGCTTCTTTTGTTCGTTCACCTTGGTGAATTAGAACAGATGCTTGTTGTTAGCATACGATTTTCCATAGCTTCCATAATTATTGATGAATTCAGCTAGACTTCATGCCTTCAGTCCTACCACTTTAAAAAAATTTTTTTAAATGTTTATTTATTTTTGAAAGAGACAGAGCACAAGCTGGGGAGGGGCAGAGAGAGGGAGACATAGAACCTGAAGCAGACTCCAGGCTCTCAGTTGTCAGCCCAGAGCCCATCTCATGGCTCAAATTTATGAACCACAAGATCATGATCCAAGCCAAACCCAGATGCTTAACCAACTGAGACACCCAAGTACTCCATTAACTCTACCACTTCTTTACTCTGTCTTCCATGTTACTGTCAATATAGTATCCAAAACACAGACCAACATATCTATCTCCTATTTAATCCTTGCAGTTCTCTATTCTCCTCATAAATAAGATTTCTCACAGTATGCTCTGAAGTTTATTATTGTCTTGAGCTCCCTTAACCCTTCTTATTAATTTTATTTATTTATTTTGGTGTGGGGAGGGGCAGAGAGAAAGGATAAGAGAGAATTCCAAGCAGGCTCCACTCAGCATGGAACTCAATGCAGGGCTTAATCTCACAACCCTGAGGTCATGACTTGAGCTGAAATCAAGAGTTGGGTGCTTAACCGACTGAACCACCCAGGAGCCCTGAGATCTCTTAACTCTTTAGCTTTGTATTGTCACTATTCTTCCCATAACTGTGCTTGGGTAACATTAAACTGACTGCACTTTACCTAATCAGGTAATTGTTTTGGCTTCATTACTTAGCCCGTGTTCTTCCTTTGACCAAAATCTTCCTTTAATTCCTTCTTATTCCATTTGGCTAAAAGATACCTATCCTCTAAGGTTCAATTATAAATATTTTCCCCTCCCACAATACTTTAAGAACCACTCCAAGTTAAGTATATTTTATATGTGTGCCAGTAGGACCTTAGAGCTACAAATGAAGCTGTTCAATATCTTATAAAATCAATTACAATGCAATTTTCAGCACGCTTAGGCCATTTTTTTCTTATCACTTATTAATATTTTGTAGACTTCTATCACTTACATCCTTTGAAGTCTATTCTGAACCAATTATAAGTGCATAAATATCACCCTTTAAAGTACCTTCAAAATATTTCTTTTAAAACCCATAAGACAAACACAAGTCAGTCTTTATGCTTGCCCATAACCATGTTTTCTAGTGTTCTGATATCGTGAGAAAGTGTTTCCTGAAAAAGGAAGCTGAGACAGTGTTTAATAAGAGAAGAAGGAAAATGCAAGTTTATAAAAGATGAAAACTGCCTGCAGTTAGAAGATAACCTATCTATTCTTTGCAGCCTGCTGGGCCCACCGAGAATCTCTAATTTACACTGTTGTATTTTTGAAAACATATCCTTTTTCTTGAGAGATATGCATTCCTTGATAGACTTCATACTACTAATCACAGATTATCTATATAAAATATCCTAATGTTTACCCCTGAAGTCCTCTGAAAAGCCCTAGATTGTATGTAAAGTTTTATGTCTCCATGATCTCAGTAAACTTAGGCACTTCAAATTTAAGCATTAAATAATGAAACACATCATAAAATGAGACATAAGAAGTGAAACTCTTTTCTTTATTTTGAATAGCATGACCTGTTTAAAATAATTTTGTTAAAAATTTTACTAAACTAAAATAAAGGCTCATTGCCATAACATTTCAGTTGTAAGATTAGTTTAATTTTAGTTATATGTTATATTGGCAGGCTGGACATTTAGTAGACTGAGATCCGTTCAACAATCTGTTACTCACAGAAACTTGCATTTCAATCTTAAGACCATAGCAGTGTTTGGATTTTCTATGCCAAATCACTCTAAAGCTATGAGAGCAAATAGGGAATGATGTTTATTAACATGAAGATCTACATCTTCATAGAACTTTGGTCATTACTTTATTATTTGTTTTGTGTCTTTTAAAAGTATAAGATGGTATAAATGAAAGGCTCTGGAAATAAGGTCTAATCTTCCATATTACTACAGAAGATAATCAATCAATGATTAAGAAATATTAAATATCAGAAATAGCTATGTATCATATATTGACATTGATAAATAATTATGTTTTACCATTTGATACTTTGGAAAACTGTGTTTACCATTCTGAATTACATCAATAATAAAGTCTTTCTCAGATTTAATATGCATACTGATAGAGTTAAATATATACTGATTATTCTAATAATCAGGTAGAATATTACTACTTTTGTATAAGAATAAATTGTTGAACCCAAAATATACAAAAGCCAATATTGAGTGTATAAGCAATAATTTGGTTTTACTGTTTTAAATAAAAACCCTCCTAAGGCATAAAGAGTGGGAAATGACACATATAAGATAATATATGAAAAATACCAAATGAAACATTTAAAAATAGGAGATATAATATTTAATAGACCTGAAGTGTAGAGATTGGCAACCTCTATATACTCGCTGTTGCCTTAGTAGATGGAGTAAAGTATCTGAACAAGTTTTTGTGGTGTAATTCAATCTCTGTGCTTTTACCACTATTTACACAAATCTAAACATAATTCTTTAGACTAAATACATCACCACAATTTCATTACTTATTAATAGACGAGTGTAAATACATCTGTGAAAAAAATGTTTCAAATAAACATTTTTGCCTAGTCATTAACATTTTGTGCGGCAATACAGCTAAGATTCAATTTTGTTTCCCTATCCACATGTATGTAATCCCAGGAAGTTATGTTAACCATCCAATGCCTCAGTTTCCACAGATGTATGAAGGATAGTCATGCCTAATACAGATTTTTATGAATATTGAATGATTAATTACTGGGAACAGTTTGTGAACAGTTTGTAAATCTCAACCAATTGAAATTATGTCAGTGTTTCCATTCTCCTTGCAAAGGGTAATTTAGCTCAGTCTCAAACATTTAAATTATGAATTCTTAATAAAGTCTATGGGGTTTGTAGGTAGAAATCGGGGATCTGTGAGTTTGGCTTAGAAAAAAGTACATCTTTGAAATCAGATAATTTTATTTTACATTATACTTTTGCATATATCTAAAAATTCCATTTATAGTCTCATGATTACAAAATCACATTTGTTGTTTTCATCAGGGAAATAGCAGTGATTGTCATTTTGCTGTCTACAGATGCTGGTGCAATAAAATTGGCCATCTATTGAGTTATTTTGAGCTTAACAATCATTCGGTCACAGAACACTTAGATTTTGAGATTTTGAGTTTTCCATTTTTTTATGTTGCTTTTTTTTTTTTTTTT